CCTCATTAACTGCCCATAGCAACTGCCATCGTCTTTATTTTGAAAAATTAGTTTTGGAATTAAGAGCCAAAACAGTATTCTAATCTAATTCAATTAAAATGAATAGGCAGAATTCAGCTTTAACTTCGATTCAATTCCAAGTAAAAGAAGCTAAGAGATCAAAGAGCGTGCAGTAAAACAAAGTTTTGAAGGATGTACAATATAGAAACTATCGAAATTATCACAAAGCTTACCGTCGCTAAAACTGTCTCACGCATGCACTCAATGTCTTTCAGGGATGGTATCTCAGCGGAGATTGCCTCCAATTCACAAACCATCTCAGAGCGTTTTACCAATTCGTTGGTCGTTTCAAGTCGACGCGTCAATTGCTCGCACCTTAAATGGTTAAATTTTTTCTCGAATTTTAAAATTCGATTTTTTGCAATTTAGCATTCTCTCTTTGCAGCACACAAAATATGCTGCATTTTCAGCCTTTAACATTTCGGAATTTGCACTTTTCAAAATTTCACATTCTTTGAACACACTGCGATACTGCATTTCACTTCCATTATTCAGCAGTTTCGCATTCCCTACTCGGTCATCGCGGTCTAGCAATGGTAAGGTTCTGAACGAGACAGTTATGCCTAAAGTACATTGAATATACTTCGAAAGTAGCCAAACCTCTAACGGCTGCTCTTGTTGGTGAACTGCTTTTTTTTTTTGGACACACACATACACACATGCACACTCACACCCATACACACTGCACATATATATATATATATGTATATATATATATATATATATATACTTGGACCAAGTAAATTTCATAAATACGCTATTACTGTGCATCCGGCTGTTCTTCTGATTGCTTAAATTGATATAGCATTGCCTGTTGTTCAGTTTGCTGGGGATTTTTGCATTCTTTTCGTGTTTGAAAGGTTTTACTAGCTCAGCGGTTCACCAACAAAAGCAGCCGTCAGAGGTTTGACTACTTCGAAGTATATTCAATGTACTTTAGGCATAACTGTCTCGTTCAGAACCTTACCATTGCCAGACCGCGATGACCGAGTAGGGAATGCGAAACACATATATATATATATACATATATATGTGTGCGGTGTGTATGGGTGTGCGTGTGCATGTGTGTGTTCAAATCAAGAGATAAAGGAGTTAAAAAAGTTGCAAATTTTGCATGAACAATTCCTGGACGGATACGCGACTGCAAATTATAAATTAAATCACACTTCATGCGTCACCACCTGCAGCTTCAAGCAAAAACTCATGCTGACACATCTGAAGAACCAAGAAAACTACGGACAGGAAATTTCGCAGATTAGCGCCCCCTGCACTTCAGAACAAATACGCTGAAGTCAGTTCAAAAAGTAAGCTGTATCCTGGTTTGGACTCAGAGTCTTAATAATTTCACAAAACGAAACAAATAGACTTGCAATTCCGAAATTTCAAAAAGTAGTATGTGGATGGTAGTATGTCAAAAAGCAAAAAGTAGTATGTCAAAAAGTAGTATGTGGACAAATCCCAACCAGACATATAAATATGGATTAATCCTCTAATAACAAGTTATGACAAAACTGTCGTGCTTCTCAAACAGCTTCTCAAAACCAAATCCAATGGCTGTTGATCTTCGATGCAACCGAATAAAAACAACGCTTTATAGCACAAATACGCTGGGTTCATAATGCTCATCACTGCTTCTTGTAATTTTATCACTGTTTTGTTTGCAATTAGTAATCTCGTATTTACAAATTTCGGAATTTCTCATTTCATCTGGCAAAATTTAAATTTGTAGATTTAAATTTCCCTTAAAAAGACGTGATTTCGTAAAGCAAACTTGCGAACCTGTTTGCAGCCGATAAAATTCGTCTGAGCGCATACAACTGCTCAAGTCTATTGGTTGTGTGGTGTAATTTTTCATATTCCGTTCGAAAGCATTCGCTGAACTGTTCACAAATGCCATTCAGATGAGCCATCTCACGGCTGATTGCCGCTTGAACACGATCCAAATTTTGCAGTGCGCTAGCCTGCTCCACCAATCGCGGATGGTGCTGCTCCACCTAAGCAATTATCACCAAGTACAGCAATAAGTCACGGAATTAGAAGATATTCAAACACATATTACAACGAACTAAGGAAACATACAGTCTTCCGGATCTGTCGGCCAATATTTTCCTTGACAGCATTGATTCTTTTCAGGAGCTCCTCTTCATCAACTCCATCTGCTGCAACCAAATTTTGCGTATACGTATTCCAGTTGAGTCGCCCC